TATCCCTTTTTCCACTATAATACGTACGTCATTTCAGCAAAAATATTACATTTCCATATTCTCAGAAATAAATAGTAGTTTTGCTGAAACGTGATGTATTTCAATGTAAATTAGGATAAACTACATGACGAAAACAAAAGACTTTACCTAACCTTCCGATGTTCAAGATATGTTACTGGTTTTTTTAATAGTTTTCAGTTAAAATACTGTTATATTAGTGATATTCAATTTATACTGTGGTTGATAAAATACATTCACGGAAATGTAATATTTTTTGCTGAAATGACGTACGTATTACAGTGGAAAGTGGGATAAAATTGTGACGAAAACAATGAATTTTGCTTTCTTTCGTTCAAAATATGTTACCGTAATCGCTTTTCGAATGGTTATCAGTTAAAAAACTAGTGTATTATAATAATATTCCCTCCTAATTGACTTGAATAAATACATGAATGGAAATATACAATATTTTTGTTGAAACTACCCGCGTTTCAGTGTAAGGTGTCGTAATAATAAATGGTAAACAAGTTTATAGGATGTAGTGTTTTTCTGAAGGTTTTGTTGTTCCTTTACCCTCAAAAACTTGGGTCGACCTATATACGAAGGGGGGTAATAGACGAGTATATACGGTATATATACACATACACAGTTGGTCCTCATATTACGCGGTTAATGTAACCCGGAGGGTACCGCGGAAAGTGAGAAACGCGTAAAGTGAATAACATAACATATGGGATTAATTGAAATGGAGTCCGGGCCGATCCCCAAACTCCACTTTTTGACGACACACAACTATGTTGTAGTAAAAATATTATCTTAACTTTATGATGGCATGCACACACAATTAATAATTAAGAGAAATATCAATAATATTAGGTTTTTTAACACTTACATTAGTAGAAAAGATGGCTGGGCACACGGGGATGGGCGGTTGGTTCCGAGGCAGAGGGCAGATTATTGGCCCTCACCTGTATCACTTGTATCAATTGTATCACTATCCACCACAGAGGCTTGCAGGGCCTCTTTGTCAAACCCCCCAAAGTTCATATAAGTCCATATCCTCACTATAATTATCACTATCACTGACTTGGGCCGGCTGTAGTGGGTGGCGGGTGAAGAACTGGTCATGTTTTGATGACTGGGCGACCTTGTGCGCACCATTTTCGCGCCTCTTACACAACATGGCGGATGGCGGGAGGTTTGGATCCAAAAATGGCGCGGCTTGCCAGCCGCTCTCCGCGTAATGGGGTTCACGACCGCGGAATGTGAAAATGTTAGGTTCTGGCAAGGCACCGCGTTAACGGTGAAACGCGGAATGCGGGACCGCGTAATATGAGGACCAACTGTGTGTATATATATATATATATATATATATATATATATATATATATATATATATATATATATATATATATATATATATATATATATATATATATATATATATATATATATATATATATATATATATATACACACACACAGTAATACCCCACTTTACACGGGTTTTTTTACGCATTTCTACATTTACACGGTACCCTGCCAGAACCGGAATTCCCACTTTACGCGGTGCATCTACTCATATATGTGGGTGAAGTAAATTTTTTTTATTTAGCTCATAAAATTCATACAAATTACGTGGCCAAAATATAATTTACATTGCTGGAATTCTTACAATTTGATGATCATTTTTAATATAAACATCATAGATTTTGCATTAGACATAAATTTTAGATCTAATGTAAGTATTTTGTTTGCTCAGAGCAAATACGTTATGTTTTGTGCAAAATATATGACGTGTATATTCAAAATATTCCTGGTGTTGCCAGGAATCCAGCAATGTCAATTATATTATCCTAACCTTAAAATCTAGTGTTTTCCCCCAAACATTTCTCAGAGAGGGAGGAGCCAGTGAGTGTGAGAGGGGGGGGTGGGAGTTGAGTCCATTATTTAAATGGACATTAACCTAGCGACTGTATTTCTCTTAAATATTAATTGTGTGTGCATACCATCATAAAATTAAGATGTTATTTTTATTACAACATAGGTATTGTGTCGGAAGAAGTGGAGTTTGGGGGTCGGCTCGGTATTTATTTCAATTAATCCCATATGTTATGTTGTTCACTTTACGCGGGCCTCCGTGGGTTCAATTGACCGCGTAAAGCGAGGGTTTACTATATATATATATATATATATATACACACACAGTGAGTTCTGCTATAACGCGTGTTTTGACAACGCGAATTTGCTCGAACGCGATTTATGAATTGAGGAACAATATTTGTAAAACGCGAACTCGTTTGCTCTAACGCGATTCCACTCGAACGGTTGTTGTGGCTTCAGTTCACGTTCGACATCACATGTTCAATTGAGTTATGTGTTTTGTTTGTGAACAATTGCAGAAATAATGTATGTAATATTTATGTATACAGTATACCTATATATTATAAGTAAATTGTAAAATTTTACATAAAAGAGAAAATCAAATTACATAGCGTTTTACACCCGCGCTCTCTCTACATCACACACAGTGTTTACAGTTCACGTTCGACATCACATATTCAATTGATTTATGTGTTTTGTTTGTGAAGAATTGCAGAAATAATTTATGTAATATTTATGTATACAGTAAACCACTCACAAGGTCCTACAGTACCACTAATTATTTTATACTGAAACTTACGTTTGGTAAGCTGGATTAAAATGAAGATTACCGGTATATTAAAATAATAAAAATGTATTATAAACCAGTCTAACATACCGTAATAAACACAGCTGCTATTATCATCCCCCCCTCCCCCATTTGCCAGTGACAAGAAAGGGAAAGTGACCTTGACTGTGACCGCCTGTGGCTATTTTTAGCCATCCTTGTGTTCGGAGGTGGTCAGTAATGCATATCTGTATATTTACTGATCATAATACTTATCTCTTATAAATAATTCATTTAAAATTTATTTTTTTGCAAAGAATATTCAGTAAATGACTGCATTAATTCTTGAAACTGCCGACAGTGGTAAATTTAGGATATAAATAATGAACAGAAGTCACGTCATGGATTCGGAGTTTGGTCCTTAACGATCACCATAAATGTAGCCTCCCTTTTTCGCGAAACACGTATATAAATTAAAGAAAATACTTGCAGTATATTTAATATATTACAGTATATTATATATAAATAAATAAACAAATAAATTCAAATTCCCTTATCATCCTGTGTCATATACAGAAATACTTGAGTCCCTGAGCGAGTACACAAAAAGAAAACGGACATCCTGGAGTGGATAGAGAACGGACATCTCTACTGGGGGACTCAAACGTTTCTCATGTTTTGTGGGCGCTCTAGCATAATATGAATAATATGTAAATTACAATTTATATATATATATATATATATATATATATATATATATATATATATATATATATATATATATATATATATATATATATATATATATATATATATATATATATATATATATATATATATATATCTATATCTTGATAAAATTACACGGGAAAATGGAAACAACGGAGTACCTTAGCTTTCGTCTTTATTCAAGACATCTTCAGAGGCAACTGGGTTACATGGACAGAGAGAGGCTTAAATATACAGGGTGACCTAAAAATATAAGGTCAGGTCATAATGATGACATCCACTAATCCGCACACCAACACACACGTAGAGGAGCTTAAGAGAAGGGTGGTGACGTGACTAGACAGGTCAGGTCAGAAAAAAGGGACCCACAAAATAACTATCATACATCAAGATCAAAGGTTTTCAAAGCATTTTTAACCTTGGGCCACTGACAAATAAATTTATGTAACATATTATCAGTTTTGAACTGACCAGTTCTATAAAAAGTTTTCTTAGTAATGTTTAGGCATTTGTCTATGAAAGATCTAGGGTATTTAAGGTTTGAGCCAATATTATATATATATTTGTATTCCTCATCGATGAATTCCGGACTGCAAATTCTCAAGGCACGTAAAAACATTGTTTTTACGTGCAGGCTGGCAGGCGGGCGGGTGGCGCGAATCTAAAAATAGCGTCGCGCCGGACACTCTCCGCGTAATGTGAGCACGTGAGGTTCTGGCAAGGCACCGCGTAAACGTGGAAACGCGGAATGCGGGACCGCGCAAAGTGAGGGTTAACTGTATATGTTTGTGTAATAAATGTATGTAGTAAGTACGTACCATAATCTTTTTCACTCAAATCCTAATGAAACACCACAATTAGAATACGGTGGTAGCTGTTGTATAAACAGTGGGAACACAGTCCCACCACCGAGACGAGGGAACACTCCCACCACCTCTCGTGAAGCAAGCGTATAAATTAAAGAAAATACTTGCAGTGTGTTTAATATGTTACAGTATATTATAAATAAATAAATAAACAAATAAATCGGTAAATCCATTTCAAGTAAATGGAAAAATTTTACTCGACACCGACATTAGTTCCAGTTACCAGTAAATAGCAGATGCTTCAGTGACGTCACTAGTGTTTACACTACACCAGCGGGTAACATTTGATGACATTACTTGAAGTGAATTGGCCTTATTTTAAAAATTCAAGGATGGTTGGTAAAGGACTACTGAGTCAGTGGGTAAGTGTCACATTTGGGGTACTGGTCTTATACAGCGAATAGAGCTCAAAAGCTACTTTTTAAATGGAAATTTGGGGGGGCCGTCTGATGCACCCCGACGCCTTATAGGCCGAGATATATATATATATATATATATATATATATATATATATATATATATATATATATATATATATATATATATATATATATATATATATATATATATATATATATATATTAATTTTCTACAGACAAAATATATAGCCACTGTAAAACTGGTACAGATGTTACCCATTACAAAGCAGTAAAATAATCCTAAATTATGTGTTTGTGGGACTAAAAGGTGGTCCCGATAGTTTTAAGTAGAAGGACAAATATAAGAGAATGTAATTACTGTATGCAATAATTTACCTGTAAAAGTAAAGCTCACAGCCGGAGCATCCCAGGGCCAGCATGCATCGTATAAAGAAGAAAACAAGCATGCGGTTGGACTGCAATAGACTGGAATATATCCAACCGGGCACTGCATGGATGAGGATGTAGGTGTAGGAGCGGAGAGCGTACTGGGGGGCATACTCCCATGTCTGGAACCCCTTCCCATACAGCAGGAAGTGAGTCTAGGGAGAAAAAATAATAATAATAACATTCAATAAAGATAACAAGAATGGTGTAAATTAACTTTTTTTTAATAAAGATAATTAAAATGTAAATTTATATACAGTACAGTAAGTGGTAAGGAATGAAAAGTTCTCTTCTATGAGGAAATTTAATTCAGGCAACAACAATGTCACCTGAAACAAGGAGAAACTCAGGATGAGTTAAGCCAAAAACTAGGGAATAAACAATGCAGTAATCATTGAGAGAAACAAGAATTAAGATAAATGCTGTACGCAAATAGCAAATATTAGAGATACAGTTAATACCATATAGTACAGTCCCCTTCACTAGTGCATGTAGAGTGCCTCAATAGGTTTTGTGCAGTGTGGGAGCCCTGTGTTTGTTTATATTTGACAGAAAAAACTCACAATAGTAAACATATTGTACTATGGAATCAAAGTAAAACCATATTAAAGCAAATATCTCAATGTAATGATTTGTGTTATGTTTATATGACGAGCTCCTGTAAATGCACTAGTGAAGGGGTCTGTACAATGGTGGAACCAATACAGTATGTATATTTATTATGATACAGTAACTATAGTATAAAGATATGATGCCCTTCACTATAAACTTGAACTTAACACTATAACAAAAGGGTGCTACTATAGCGTGTGGTCTACAAAGATATCTTTAGTCCAACCTTGCCTAACCTAACTTAACCCTACCTAACCTAACTTAACTTATATATCTTGTAGACTGCACGCTTTAGTATCACCAACAAATGCATGTTTACCATGTATGGTTTTGGTTATTAACTCGGTAATGTTAATTTATTTTGTGTTGTGGTTAATAATATTGAAGGAGTGTTTCAGTATTGTCCTTGTCTCTGGTTTAAGGCATCTCATTATGTTATCATCACACTGTACAGTGGTCCCTCGGTTAACGAACACAATTCGTTCCAGAAGGTCGTTCGATAACCGAAACCATTGTTTCAATGGGATTTTGGGTAATTGGTTCCAGCTCGCCAAAAATTACATAGAGTAAAAAAAAAATGCAGTAAAGTACACTTACTTTGAGGTGTGTATGTAGAAGGCTCCTGGTTGATGATGATGGGAATTAGAAGTGGGGGTGGAGGAGAAGGGAGAAGAGAAGGAAGTGGGGATGGAAGAGAAATCACCCCATGCTTCATGCTGTCATTTCACCCAAAAAATTTTAAGTTCACTAGGTGTAATTCAAGATTATTTTCTTTAAATCAACTCTGGACTGCACTATATATTGTCAATATGTTAAATAAATTTCAGAATGACCAATAATTGTACTGTAAAAACGTAAAAATACTCTGGGTTCAAGAGACCCACAAGCAAGATGTTTCCTCCACTGAACAGATACAAACTGAGGCCTTGGTGGGTGAGTGAAGTGGCTGATTGGCACACCAAAAACTACAGTATTACCCCGCTTTACACGGTTTCACTTTCCGCGATTTCTCATTTACGCGGTACCTTGCCAGAACCGGACTTTCACTTTCCGCGGTGCATCTACTCATATACGCGGTGAAGTATAATTTTTTTTTATTTAGCTCATAAAATTCATACAAATTACCCGGCCAGAATATAATTTACATTGCTGGAATTCTTACAATATGATGATCATTTTGAATATAAACATCATGGATTTTGCATTAGACATACAAATTTTAGATCTAATGTAATAATTTGGTTTACACAAAGCAAATATTTTATCTTTTGTGCAAAATATATGAAGTTTACATTCAAAATATTCCCTGACCTGCAAGGAATCCAGAAATGTCAATTATATTATCCTAACTTTAGTCTGAGGTATTATTTATTACTAAAAGTTAAAATCTAGTTTTTTCACCCAACATTTCTCTGGTAGGGAGGGAAGGTGGGGGGTGGGGGGGAGGGTTGGGACCGACCGACCCAGCTGGCGTGAGTGTGAGGAGGGGGGGAGGCAAGTTGGGGTACTTTGATTGACAGATAGTGTCGTGAAGAATATTTTTTTTTTTATTAACTGAAGATATTTGTTTTAGCTCATAAAATTCATACAAATTACTCGACCAGAATATAATTTACATTGCTGGAATTCTTACAATATGATGATCATTTTGAATATAAACATCATGGATTTTGCATTAGACATACAAATTTTAGATCTAATGTAATAATTTGGTTTACACAAAGCAAATATTTTATCTTTTGTGCAAAATATATGAAGTTTACATTCAAAATATTCCCTGACCTGCAAGGAATCCAGAAATGTCAATTATATTATCCTAACTTTAGTCCGAGGTATTATTTATTACTAAACGTTAAAATCTAGTGTTTCACCCAATCACTTCTCAGAGAGGCAGGGGCCAGTGAGCTGGGAAGAGGGGGGGGGGGGTGATTTGAGCCCATTATTTGAATGTACAGTTGTACCCCACTTAACGCGGTCAATAAAACCCAGAGGGTACCGTGTTAAGTGAAAACCGCGTTAAGTGAACAACAGAACATATGGGATTAATTCCAATAGAAACCGGCCCGACCCCCAAACTCCACTTTTTGACGACACATAACTATGTTGTAGTAAAAATAACATCTTAATTTTATGATGGTACATGCACACAATTAATACTTAAGAGAAATAGAGAAATACAGTCACCAAGTTAATGTCCATTCAAATAATGGACTCAACTCCCTCCCCCTCTTCTCACACTACACTGCTGGCTTTTCTCTCTCTGAGAAATTTTTGGGGGAAAACCACTTAATTTTAATAAATAATACCTCAAACTAAAGTTAGGATAATACAATTGACATTGCTGGATTCCTTGTAAGACCAGGAATAGTTTGAATATAAATGTCATATATTTTGCACAAAAGAGAACATATTTACTCAGAGTATACATTTTATCTAAAATTTGTATGTCTAATGCAAAATCTATGATGTTTATATTCAAAATGATCATCAAATTATAAGAATTCCAGCAATGTAAATTATATTCTGACCGGGTAATTTGTATGAATTTTATGAGCTAAAACAAATATCTTCAGTTAATAAAAAATAAAAAAATATTCTTCACAGGGTAACAGATGGTCGGTCCGTCCCTCCCTCCCCCCCACCCTCCACCAACCGTCCCAAGGAGATGTGTGGGAAAACCAGAATATTTAACTTTTTAGTAATAAATAATACCTCAAACTAAAGTTAGGATAATATAATTGACATTGCTGGATTCCTTGTAAGACCAGGAATATTTTGAATACAAATGTCAAATATTTTGCACAAAAAATAACATATTTACTCAGAGTGAACATTATATCTAAAATTTGTATGTCAATGCAAAATCTATGATGTTTATATTCAAAATGATCATCATATTGTAAGAATTCCAGCAATGTAAATTATATTTTCTGGCCGGGTAATTTGTATGAATTTTATGAGCTAAAACAGGCAGTCAGGCAGGGTGGCGGGTGGGGCAAATCTAAAAATAGCTCTCGAGCCGGACACTCACCGCGTATACGTGGAAAAAACCCGCGTTAAGTGAAAGTTCAGCTCTGGCGAGGCACCGCGTATACGGTAAAACGCGCTAAGTGAAACCGCGTTAGGCGGGGTAATACTGTACATTAACCTGGCGACTGTATTTCTCTTAAATATTATTTGTGTGAGCATACCATCATAAAATTTAGATGTTATTTTTACTACAACATAGGTATTGTGTCGTAAAAAGTGGAGTTTGGGGGTCGGGCCAGTCTCTATTGGAATTAATCTCATATGTTCTGTTGTTCACTTTACGAGGTTTTCACTTTCCACGGTACCCTGTGGGTTCAATTGACCGTGTAAATCGGGGTACTCCTGTAGTTCCCTGTACTGCAATTATGTTAAATAAGTGTTAAAATGACTAAAAATTTTAATATAAAACTTGGAAAATTATTGAATAGTACAACCTTCTTGATATTTACTCCAATTTTAACGAATGTAAGCCCTAGAACCGATTTCTGTATAGGCGGACTAATCTTCCAGCTGGTGTGCAAGCCAAAATATGTTGAAACATTTTCGTAAGAATTTTGTTAACCGAATTGAATATTCTTATGGAAGGTAATTCGTTAATCGAAATTTCATTAACTGAGGCGTCCGTTAAGCGAGGGACCACTGTATAGTTTAAAAAATAGAGACTGTGTTATAGTTTTTCAATAAATTATTTGAGTTCCAGCAAAACCTCTATTTAACGGAGAATATGGAGATCAAAGTACAGTGGGGTATGCTATAATGAATCTAATTGGTTCTAGAACCTTGTTCGTTATAGCATTCGTTCGTTATAGGATTAATCCGTTCCAGGCCCCCAAATACAACCACTTAACACTGAAAAATATAATATAAAATTGTAAAAATTTAAAAAAAGTGCATAAATATGCATCTAAACCCCTGAAATAAAGAATATCATTAATACTTGTAATAAAAAAATCAATAAATTAGTAAAAAAAATCGTTGTAGGAGTTTCGTTCGTTATAGCATTCTCAATTTTATAGGTAAAACCGTTCGTTATAGGAATATTCGTAGTAGAATCCATTCCTTATAGCATACCCCACTGTATTATATTGACGGTATGTTAGATGTGAAATCTCCATCTAACAGACTATATGGAGAGAGAAGTCCATTATATGGAGGTTTAACTGTAATTAGAAGTATAATATTTAAAAATACCTTTACTGGTATAGTACTAGGTACTGTAGTTGTTTTATAGTTTCTAGATAATCTTTCTTGATATTAAAGAGTTTACTGTAAATATGATTTAGTATAACAAGAATAGACATGATATAAGAAACAGTAGTCTATGAGATGAAAATGTAAACAATTTAAAGCTAACATGCACATACAATACAGCACAGTATATATCTCATAAAAGCATTTGCCAGAATGGTTCCGATGACGTCCAAAGTGCTACATGCAACTCATAATGTCCCGGGAGGGTTGGTATGTGTGGCTCTATGGTACACTGATCCTACTATATTTGATAAATGAACATATTAATTATGCCAAAATATATACACATTGTATTACTTATGTTAAACTATGTACAGTAGAAAGAGCATGTCCCTATATCAATCATCAGTGGTCTCTTAATGTTTCACACAGATTGTGGACAGATACTTTGAGATGCAGTACATAATTGAAATTCAAACAACATTACTGTACACAGCAGATGGAAAGGTGTTGAGCTATAGAGCACACTTACAGGCTCCCAATAATTGTAAGTTTCATCACAGTCATTGATCAGAGCCCATATGGCGGCACAGAGACGAGCTGACAACAGAGCCTTGAGAGCTGTGTATGAGCCGGGCGTCCACGGCTCTATGACACCAACAACTCCTCCTGTTCCTTCATCTTCCTTGTCTTGCTTCCTAAAAGAAATTTAAACGGTACTATTGCGTTTACACACCGTTCATTCCTACCACTAATCTATTATGATATTCGAATAAGACGTCTAATTATAAAATAATTTTCATCTATCACATTACCGGCGGAAATGTACAATAACGGAGATAGCTTATCCAAAATTTTCTCTATTTTCTTCCATTAATCTTCCCCCATTATCGTCTGCCTCTCCTCCAACACTGCGTGTCTCCTGCGTCTCCTTCATAAATCATCACGCGCATGCGTTCCCGTACACGTCATGCGGCCAATCAAAAGCGTTTTTTATTTTTTAAACCAATTAAAATGATTTTGGGTTTAATTCACGGTATATTTGGCCCAATCAAATTCGAGTTTTACTTTGGGTCTCTCATACAATTCAAGTTCAGTAACTTCAGTTCCGACCATGGCAGTCTTGCGATGGGTGTCACTTCAATTATATGGAGCCGATTGCGAGTTTTTGGGAAAAAGACGAAGAAACTATAGCATTTTCTCGATCGCATGGTGTTCTTCCAACCTCAGTAAAGTGTACTAAGAGCAAGGCCGAATGTAAATATCGCAAAGACCAACATATGTGACGTGTAAGAATCTCAGAATCCAACGACGAACAAGAACCAGGCCAATAAGGTAAGAAATAGGTGATTCCATCATAAGGTGAGAGTCAGTTAGGTTAGGTTAGATTTGGTTTTTGGTTTTCTAGTGTTTTTTGGTGTATCTTGCAATGAATTTTTTTCGGAAAACGTCCAACGGAAAAAAAAAAAAATGCTAATTTCCCCCAGAAATGAAGGTCATATTCGGTCTAAACACACACAAATACACTAGAAAAATATATGGTATTATTTTCTTGTAGCTCCGTTCATTCCTACCACTAATCTATTATCATATTCGAATAAGACGTCTAATTATAAGATAATTTTCATCTATTACATTACCGGCGGAAATGTACAATAACAGAGATAGCTTATCCAAAAATTTTTCGATTTCTTCCATTAACATCCCGCCATTATCGTCTGCCTTTCCTCCAACACTGCGTGTCTCCTGCGTCCCCTTCATAAATCATCCTGCGCATGCGTTGCTGTACACGTCACGCGGCCAATCAAAAGCCTTTTATATTTTGAAACCAATTAAAATGTTTTTGGGTTTAATTCGCGGTATTTTTGGCCCAATCAAATTCGAGTATTCTTTTTGGCCTCTCATATTTTGAAATTCGAGTTCAGTTCCGACCATGGAAGTCTGCGATGGGTGTCACTTAAAGTATATGGAGCTGATTGCGAGTTTTTGGAAAAAAAACGAAGAAACTATAGCATTTTTTCGATCGCATGGTGTTCTTTCAACCTCAGTAAAGTGTACTAAGAGCAAGACTGAATGTAAATATCGCAAAGACCAACATATGTGGCGCTGTGTAAGAATCCCAGAATGCAACGACGAACAAGAACCAGGCCAATAAGGTAAGAAATAGGTGATTTCATCATACGGTGAGAGTCAGTTAAGTTAGGTCATGTTAGGTTAGGTTTGGTTATTGTTTTTCTAGTGTTTTATTGTGTATTTGTTAGTCGCTTAGGCACTTTTTTCTCGGAAAACGTCAAACGAAAAAAAATCGCTAAAAAACCCCCGGCTATTTCCGCCAAAATGGAAGGTCATATTCGGTCTCAGCACACACAAATACACTAGAAAAATATATTTTTAACTTGCTACAAGTGAACGGGGCTACAAGAAAAATTTACCAAATATATTTTTGACTTTCTAACAGAGAACGGTGTGACAATGCAAATTTACCATATAAACTTTTAAATGTTTTGTTCTATGAGTTAGGTCTGGTTAACTCTGGAAAAAATAAAAGGAAATTTTGAAAAATTTCTCAAGTGCTGATTAGTAAACTCGAACCTTGTCCTCGAGAATTACCCAGATTGTTACATTAAATATAAATTAAAAAATCAATCTTTCATTATACTTCAATCCACGAGACTCCCAAACAATATAAATAAGTCCAGTCCACCTCCCGGGTTCTTTCCTCTATTAGGCACAAAAACCACCATCCAGGCAACTCTTTATGGCTTTATTTTTCCCCTAAATCAAGTTTCCCTCAGCCAGTAAGGACATTAATCTCGATATCAACTCATGCTTACGGTTCTTTACTGCTGGCCTGGCGTTTAAGGATCTCTTTCTGTAGTTCTTTGCGGGTGTGAGCGTTGCCTCGGCTCCTCACCGTCGGCGACATGTTTACACTGATCAATTAACTCCGGGTCACGTTGGGTTAATTTATAATTTTTCCTCTATGGATGTCTCACTATGGACATTTATTTGATAGATAATACAGTCTTATGATCTTATATAATGAACTGTGCATTAATTTTGGTTTATTATACTATACTAATTTATAATATTACAATATATAACTTCATACGTAATTATCATTTAATTTCGACATTCAAAAAAGCAAAAAAATATATTGACAGTTGTTTAAATATTTATCTTTTTATTACCAAAGTAACACATTTTTAGTTTAATTTTAATTAAGATATATTGGTGGTTTTAAATGTTATTATTATTGAAGATATGGACGGCTTGTAAAATAATTGTGGTAGTTAAAGAATGTGAGTCAGTAAGGGGGAGGATGGCCGCGTCCTCTGAGTCCAGTAACAGCAGAATAAGGTGAAATATTTACTTAATTTCTCTCTTGCCTCCTGTATTGACTTTGTTATTGGTAAAGCCTTGCGTTATTTATATTTTACTACATGTCCACATGACGTTTTTGACATATTATTTAAATAAGTTCTTGAAGATGGCTGAGTTTCCTCAAGAACGTGTTCGATGAATTTATAAATTGAAATGAAGACCATTTATAATAATAATCTAATGTAAATTGATGAAATATAATAAGAAAAGTGGTGTTTAAAACCTTAATGGATTTACCGAGCCGATCAGTGGGGTTGAAAGATAAAAGGTTAAACCAGGCTTCTCAATTAAACTAACTCGTATAGGTTGGAGGAATTGCATTCTTTCGTTTTTTATCAGTAAAAATTCATTTTTTATCCACAGTTGGTATGATATATGGTAAACTTTTAGTTTCGGTCATCCCTGTAATTAGGTATCCATACTAACCTAACGTAACCTAACCTAACCTATAAAATAATTCAAATGATAATGGTGATCCTGAATACCTATTGAGATAAAGAACGAATATTAACCTTTTGGTCAATTTGCAGTTTCAACCAACCACTTCTCTCGATTTGAGCAATGTGTTTTTCTTTGGTTTAAACAATGTTTCCCTTGGAAATGACCAAAAAATTACCTAACCTAACCTAACAGGGGGACTCCATCCCCCTGGATCCCCCTTCATATATAAATCATTTGCGAGGGAAACGTCATAGAAGAAAGAGTGTCTTAAAATTGTCCAAACCATCGACAAAACACATTGCTCAACTTGAGAGCCGTGGTTAGTTGAAACACAAATGGTTCTCTTTTTTTCTCTTAAAGATTCTCTACCACCCAATGATAAAATATTTGCATTTCAGCTTTTTACGTCAGTAGGAATGTTTCATAGACATCAACACATCTAACTCATACTCAGTGGAAACCTGCAGCATTCGTAAATTTTTGTATAATGATAAATTCTTTCATATTTTAAGAATATCCCCAATAAAACAGACAACGATTGGGAATTTTTTTAATACGAGTGTAGCCATACACATGAATGCTTTGTTGCTTCCATTCTATACTAACAAACCCTAACTTAACAAAAGCTAACCTAACCAAACCTAGAAGGGGTAGCTAAAGAGCCAGGTTAATTTTTGGGGCACTTCAACAAACACAAACCAGAGGACTTTTTTTCACAGCTCCTACAAACAGACTTGAGTGAAACATCACAAAACACTTCACACATCCTTGTGACAGTGGCCCCCACCCAACCAGCTTTAACAGCTAAGGAGCTATGAAGTTTTAATAACTGTCTGTGATTAGTGAATGCAGTAGAAGCAGAATCAGTTCCATGGCTCTATATATCAACCAATCATTGTACCTTGCTCATATCTGAGGGTTGGTGACCACAGTCCCTCCACTCTAAACATTCTCGGCCTGTTGTTACCAATCCTCTAAGGTTTTATATCTCCCTGGGGACCCAGTTTTTAATTTCACTCATACATCCTCAGTCTCTGCCTTCTCCTACCCTCAACTTTGCCCTTTAATATTTCTATTATTATCTCTTTATCCTTAATTGTATGACCAAACTATCTAATTTTTATTTTTCTGTACATTTCAAGTATTTCTCTTGAAGTTTTTGCTAATCTTAGTATCTAATTCATAATTAATGTTAACTCTTGCATGCATTGATAACTGTGAATTACAAGAGATATGATTATTAATGTTTATTTTGTTCAGAAAATTACTGTACCTTTACTGTATTTCAGAAATTACAAAACTAACCTAAGGTGCATCATCCTAGCTGGTCACCAAGTTTTTCAATATTTTTATTTTTCAGTTTATGTCACTGTTAACCTGATAAACTGGAGGAACTGTATTTTGAATTACTGTATAATATTAATGTTATATAGATAAATTTACTGTAATTTATTTACAGGTAATGTATATACAGTATGCAACTTGGGTAAAGTTGGTTACTGTTGTATATAGGTTTGTTTTACACATATGTACTTTACTGTACAGCTCCTTCCCAACTTACGACCTGCCTCAGTCGTACCAAAATTTGGTCAAATTACATATTTTCAAGTCCCAAAGTCAGTACACAGACAAAATTTTTGTTTGTAATTCACTTTAAAATGGCTGGCAAGCTTAAAAGTGAGTGTTTTGTATTTGCTGAGAAGAAAAAGAGACACCCATTTTAGATTTTCTATGTACTGTATTATTTAAGAATTTCCAATTTACGACCATTTTGAGTTATGTCCTGGATTTGGGTCCCTAACCCCATCGTAAGTTGGGGAGGAGCTGTATTTTCTTTGGCATATATTTGCTATTTTATAAATTATTCTTGGTTCTGAAATGTGAAAATATAATATTTAAAATTCTTGCCATAAAATAACTTGTAATGCTTTAGATGTCTGGGGGAAAATGTGTCTACTAGGTAAGTACAGTATTTGTACAGTAGTAAGGAATCTAGACTGTATGTAGGCACAACTCCGGTACATTATCTGAGAAGGTAATTTATAAATAGTAAGGAATAATATCAGAATATATTATACTGTATATCCAATATGTTGTGATGATTATTTCAATAAATTTCGTTCCATTATAATGATAGTTACATACTTTTTTCCCTCAGCGATGTTGATGAATATGGTTTTGAGAGACCTCCAGACTTTAATTATCAAACATATGAGGAGTTTATGTCGAGGTACCTGACAGTATTAACGAGAAGAGCAGCAAGATGGTCTCACCTGCTGGGAGCGAGGGAGACTGTTGGAAGAGGGATGAAGGTGAAACGTTATGTGAGGAAGGGGATTCCTATGAAACATCGTGGAAAGGTGAGAACGTTCACTCCATATTTGGTCAAGTTTCTTATTTTGGCTCTTTGGGGATGATGTTTTAACCCTTTAAGGATGATGTTTTAACCCTTTGAGGTAAATGAACTCTCCGACAGCAGGAATTTAAATTTTCATGGAAAATCGTTCCCAAAGCTGGTAAATTCAGGATTTGGGAACGATTTTTTGGAAATATTGAGAAAATTTTTCCGGTACCCGGAAAATTCCCGTGATGAGGAATTTGTTCCAGCTTTGAGAGATGAGATACAGTATTTTCTCGATGTAACAAACTAATTCAAGCCACCCCTTTCCGTTAAATCGTAATTTCCGCTTAATCAGTAAATTGAGTGTGATTCCATTAAATTCTGTTCCAAATGCGCTGTTTGGGGCATGGGGTTTCTTTACATCTGCTCAGTCAGCCACCACCGTGTGTGTTGTTCACTGCTACCTCTCTGTCTGCATTTTGGTCAACTAACTACAGCTACTCCTTGACTTACGACCTACTCTACTTACGACCACCCGGACATACGACCGCCCCAGTCGTACCAAAAAATTTTCAAATTACGTATTTTTGAGTCCCGACGTTAGTGATTGCGCTGTGTACTGACAAAATTTTTGTTTGTAATTCCCTTTAAAATGGCTGGCATGCTTAAAAGTGAGAGTTTTGTGGTGCTGAGAAGAAAAAGAGACACCCATTTTAGATTTTCTATGTATTATTTTCACATTTTCGACTTAGGGCCATTTCGACTTACGAACTGGATTTGGGTCCCTAACCCCGTCGTAAGTCGAGGAGTGGCTGTCTTAGACATCATGCTGAAAGTCGCAGTCTCAGAAAGGAAGTGGTGTGGGGAAGAAAGTCAAAAGAGTGCAGCTATCAATTGGAAAAAAGTTTGGATATTATAGAAAAAATTGAAAGCAATCACCGAACCCCCTAGTTTAAGGTAAGCCATGAATAATGTTTCTATGTACATCTCATGTGTCAGAGGTGTCACCTCTAGGTATGACCGTATTAACGGAATTAATCTCGATTTAGCGAACTAGTTCACTAGCTCACTGTTATCTAAGAAAGGGGATACCTATAACAATGAAACATTGTGGCAAGGTTTTAACCCTTTGAGGATGATGGATTAACCTTTGAGGTGAAGGATGGTTTAACCCTTTGTTGATAATGGTTTAACCCTTTGATTATAATGTTTAACCCTTCGATGATAATGTTTTAACCCTTTTTGGATGATGTTTTAACCCTTTGAGGATGATGTTTTAACCCTTGAGGATGACGTTTTAACCCTTTGGTGATAATGTTTCAACACTTTTTGGATGATATTTTAACCCTTTAAGGATGATGTTTTAACCCTTTGAGGATGGTGTTTTAATCCTTTAAGGATGATGTTTTAATCCTTTGAGGATCAGGTTTTAACTCTGAGGATGGAGATGATATTTTAAGTTAGGTAGTTACAGATTTGAAACTGTGTGAGAGTTGGCTTTAGACAATTCAAGCATATATATCCCTGAATGAGATTTTTGTATTATTTTATTAATTTTTTATTAACGTACAGATGTGGATGGAGGTGAGCGGAGCCAAGAAGAAAATGACGTCCCGGCCTGGTTATTACCAGAGCCTTTTGGAGATGCCGCGTGATGAAGAGTTGGTCGAAGCCATAAGGATCGATGTTCCGCGCACCTTCCCAGATAACATATATTTTCGTGACTACAAGGAGGGCAAGTTGACCAGTCTGTACAATGTTCTGGTGGCCTTTTCCCAACACAATAAGAAAATTGGATATTGCCAAGTAAGTACTTTACTGCACTTGTCTTTCTTTTTTCTTTTCTTTTTTTTGTGTGTGTGTGTGTGTGTGAAGCATAGGGATGGTTTTAATCCATGTAAGCATTTGGTTCTGATATTTGCAGGGAGTCTTTCTCTGATATGTTACCCACTCGTGTACATATACAGTACAGAACATATGAGGCATCGTAAGGTGCATTCAGACCATCCGGGCAAAACCATTTTTTTTTTTTTTTTTTTGGAAAGCACTATTTTTGGCCTAGTTCTACACGATTTGTAGTTGATAAGATCTCCTTACTGCACTGTAAATAAGGTTGAAAGCCCTTCGAAAATAGGGTAGAACATCAATTTGTGACGGACAGAAAATTATGGGCTTGGCTTTCGCGTCGTCAGGTGTTCTCATCCCGTCAGTGAGTGAGTGAGAGGAACGGGCGGCCAATCACAGCGGCCAGCCTACAACCTCCTCCATCTCGGCCAATGAGCATCTGCTATCTACAGTATGTCACGGCCCCTCCAGCAGGCGGGATCTTCACTCTGATAGTGGTTAAAGTAAAAAAAAGCCATAAGTGGGTGGGAGTTTTGTTGCTTCAAGTCATCATTGCAACAACCCAGTACATTATTTCATGACCTGCTACCTACCATCTGCAAGTACAGTCCATTAGCTTCAAAATGCATGAAAAATGAATGCTGTATCTCTAAAAACAACAAAGTTATGCATGTTTGAAGTTGGAAAACTTTCAACAGGGTTTTCTCGGTTTCAAATTTTGGCGCGAATAACCCATATGATGCAGGGCGCCTCATATACAGTACAGTATTTACCCTTGGCTAATTTGAGTAATGTACTGTACAGTACAGTCAACTACTAAAGTCTGTTCGCTTCTCCCCCTGAACCACGAACCCCAAGATTCACTCATGGACCTGAAACAAAAGACTGATACATTATTCTGTCCATAAATGCTTAGGATTCGTGAGTGTGAACCTAATCTACTAACTTTCTGTCTACTTTTCTATCTGTCTGTCTAATTTTCAGTCTGTCTATCTATCAATCATCATTTAATCTATCATATCCTCATATTCTTTCCAAATCCTAACCTAAACTAAACCTAACTTAACCTAAAATAATCCTAACCTTACCTTCCCTAACCTAATCTAAACCAAACCTAATCTAAACCTAACCCATCCCAAACCTAACCTTACTCATCCCAAACTCTCACAGGGAATCAACTACATCGTTGGGCTGTTGTTGATCGTCACGAAGGAGGAGGAGAGCACGTTCTGGCTGCTCAACACCCTCATGGAAGACCTACTGCCAGAGTACTACACACCTGATATGGTCGGTGTTCTTACTGACATCAAGGTTCTAGAAGCCATTGTCAAGTGAGTTGTCATAAGATTTTTTTTTTATATAGTTTTAATGTTGAATTGTTTTCTAAACCTTAACTTACCTTACCTAACCTAACCTAAATGAACCTAACCTAACCTTATCTAACTTTACTATAGCCTTCACCACAACAACTTTCACCACCACCACAACTATCCACACCATCACCACTTTCAGCATACTCCTCACAACAGTCACCTCCCATAAGGCGGCATGGACGGAGAGGGCCTAGAGGGGGTCTGGGGGGGGGGTCGGGCTCGGCGAAGGGGTGTAGGTCATACACTCCCCATGAGGTGCACAACAGGAGGCCCTCCTCCCCTACAAGTGATGCACAGTGGAGTGCAGGGCTGTACACTCCAGTTCACAGCCCATTCACTGGAAATCCAGGTCTTCTCATCCCAGTTCCCACAGCTCCCCTGCAGTTCTTTAAATTATTCTTCACTAGGGAGTTGCTGTGGTACCTGACTGTGGAGATGAACCAGTATGCTGCCTTCATTGGTACAACTACAAATGCTTGGGCCCTGTGTAGTGAAGAGGAGGTGGCCAAGTTCCTGGGGCTCTTTTTCCTGATGGGTGTGGTTGACCTTCCTAGCATGGGGCATTACTGGAGGGAACAGGCAGTGCATGACTATCCTGTCATCAGGAATACCATGACTGAAGTTCATTTCTGTGCCATCCTGAAGCAATTCCATGCCTTCAACAGTTGTGCTGTGCCTGCAGTCAACACAGACTGCTCTATCACAGTTCACACAGTGATGTTCTACCTCTTCAGTCGATACCAGAGTGTCTACCTTCCTGAGGAGCGTATCTGCAGAAGTAAGTTTGGGCTGGAAAGGGCGACTCTCATTCCATGTGCACAACCCTCAGAAACCACAGAGGTATGCTATCAAAATGTACATGCTTGGGGAACTTCCAAGTGTACACCAGTGAGAGGAAAGTAACCTCCACCACCGTATTGGAACTCATCGAACCACTGAAAGGTTTCGGCTACAAGGTATTCATGGACAATTATTATAACTCAGTGTCCATGTGCCAAACCCTCTTCTCTCACCAGGTGTCTGTGTGTGGCACACTACGACTGACACATGGTGCTCCTAAGGACCTACAAAATCTGGGGGAGAAAAAGAAGAACCTGGCAGACGATGAGGTGCAGGCAAGACACAAGGGGAATGTCATGGTGTTGTTATGGAAAGACAAGTGCATTATCAGTATGGTGTCAACCTTCCACAGCACCAACACCACAATAAAGCAGGTGCACACCAAAATGAAGGGGCAGGACCGCAAGTTCCACCACATCGACAAGACCATCAACAAGCTCGTTATGGTGGAAGACTACAATGGGTGGGGTGGACCATTACGACCAGATGGTTCAATACTATCCCATCCAAAGGCGAATCTTCAAGTGGACCAGGAAGTCAACCTTCTACCTTGTCCAGATGGCCCTCTTCAATGTGTTTGTATTATACAAAATGTATTCCCCTGACACTCGGAAGTTGGCAATGCTGGATTTTTGTGGAGCACATCATCAAGAAGTTCTGAAATTCAGGCCAGAGGACTGGCCTGACTAAGGAGTGCTTATCCACCGCACTCCTGATGTTCCCAATGCACGTCCCCATTGGCAGCCATGGAGACGTGGGACTGCAAGGGTTGTAGGGGCTGCAAGGGACGCCACTGCTGCTCCTGCCACCACCACTGCTGACACCATTGCTATAGCACCTGCCACCACTGCTGCTTCTCCTGCCATCACTGCTGCTCCATTGGTGGCTCCTGGACCCTCGGTCACACCTGCAGCTGCATCTCAGGCAAGAGTACAGAGGCAAGGAGGTGGACAGGGTCCACAGGCCAAGCAACGTAAAGTTTTGGATACAGACCAACACCTTGATGCAACATGTGGCCACAGCCGAGAATGAATCCCGGACAGGAAGCGGCTGTGGTGCCACCTGTGTTGCCTGAGGCACGGACGAAGGACGGACACATGTGCCCTGTGTGTGATGTGCCTCTGTGTCTTGGAGATTGCTTCTCTCATTACCACACTGATTGCAATCTCCTGCCATAAAGCATAACACACACACACACATCCATACTCACACACCCTTATCCACAGTCACACACCCTCATCCACTCCCACACTCATCCACACTCCCATGCTCATCCACATTCCCACACACTCATCCACATCCCCACACACTAATCCACACACACTCACACATGTTCACTCACAATCATTCACTCTCCCTCTTAAATTTTACTTTGGGCTCACCCCCCCCCCCAAAAAAAATCCATCTACAAGTTCCTGAAGTCTTCCTCCTCGCTGAAGGATGTGAGTACAGAATGATCTTATATCAGTACAGAATGAGTTTATTTATAATATATTTTCTGTTATTTTTTGTTGCATTTTATTATAAGATATTGTGTTACTTTCTTTTACTATACAGTAATACCCCACTTTTCGCGGTCAATTGAACCCACAGAGGCCCGCGTAAAGCGGGAAACGCGTAAATGGAACAACAGAACATATGGGATTAATTGAAATAGAGACTGGGCCGACCCCCAAACTCCACTTTTTCAGACACAATACCTACGTTGTAGTAAAAATATCTTAATTTTATGATGGTATGCACACACAATTAACAGTTAAAAGAAATATCAATAATATTAGGTTTTTTAACACTTACATTAGTGGAAAAGATGGCTGGGCTCACGGGGATGGAGAGTTGGTTCCAAGGCAGAGGGCAGATTATTGGCCCTCACCTGTATCACTTGTATCAATTGTATCACTATCTACCACAGAGGCTTGCAGGGCCTCTTTGTCAAACCCCTCAAAGTCCATATACAGTAAGTCCATATCCTCACTATCACTGACTTGGGCCGGCTGTGGTGGGTGGCGGGTGAAGAACTCGGTAATGTTTTGATGACTGGGTGACCTTGTGCGCACCCTGCCTGCGCTGCTTCCCGCGTATATGAGTAGATGCACCGCGTAAAGTGGGCATTCCGGTTCTGGCCGGATACCGCGTAAATGTAGAAACGCGTAAACGAGAGCTGCGTAAAGCGGGGTATTACTGTATGACAATCATGTGATGTGTTTAACTGCCCATCCACCTATATACAGTAAAAGTCCAAAAATCCGGATGCCAGGAATCCGGACCACCCGAGAATCCGGACTTTTTGAAAACTCAAACTTTTTAAATTTAGCGGTCTTTTGTGGGTTACGTGAATGAATGGAAATGCTTTAAAAAATTAATTTACATAATTCTAATAATATAAGTACAGTATTACCCCGCCTAACGCGGTTTCACTTAACGCGTTTTTTCATATACGCGGTGCCTCGCCAGAAGCGAACTTTCACTTAATGCGGATTTTTTCCACATATACGCGGTGAGTGTCCGGCTCGAGACGCTATTTTTAGATTTGCCCCACCCGCCACCTGCCACCCTGCTTGACTGCCTGTTTTAGCTCATAAAATTCATACAAATTACCCGGCCAGAATATAATTTACATTGCTGGAATTCTTACAATATGATGATCATTTTGAATATAAACATCATAGATTTTGCATTAGACATACAAATTTTAGATATAATGTTTATTCTGAGTAAATATGTTATTTTTTGTGCAAAATATATGACATTTGTATTCAAAATATTCCTGGTCTTACAAGGAATTCAGCAATGTCAATTATATTATCCTAACTTTAGTTTGAGGTATTATTTATTACTAAAAAGTTAAATATTCTGGTTTTCCCACACATCTCCTTGGGACGGTTGGTGGGGGGTGGGGGGGAGGGAGGGACCGACCGACCATCTGTTACCCTGTGAAGAATATATTTTTTTTTTATTAACTGAAGATATTTGTTTAAGCTCATAAAATTCATACAAATTACCCTGTCAGAATATAATTTACATTGCTGGAATTCTTATAATTTGATTATCATTTTGAATATAAACATCATAGATTTTGCATTAGACATACAAATTTTAGATAAAATGTTTACTCTGAGTAGGTATGTTCTCTTTTGTGCAAAATATATGACATTTATATTCAAAATATTCCTGGTCTTACAAGGAATCCAGCAATGTCAATTATATTATCCTAACTTTAATCTGAGGTATTATTTAATACAAAATGTTAAAATTTATTTTTTTCACCCACTCTTTCTCTTGAAGGGAGGATTGGTGGGGGGGAGGGTTGGGACTGACCGCGCGGTTGGAAGAGGGGGGGGGAGGCAAGGTGGGGTACTTTGATTGACAGATAGTGTCGTGAAGAATATTTTTTTTTTTTATTAACTGAAGATATTTGTTTTAGCTCATAAAATTCATACAAATTACCCGGCCAGAATATAATTTACATTGCTGGAATTCTTACAATTTGGATCATTTTGAATATAAACATCATATATTTTGCATTAGACATACAAATTTTAGATAAAATGTTTCTCTGAGTAAATATGTTATCTTTTGTGCAAAATATATGGCATTTATATTCAAAATATTCCTGGTCTTACAAGGAATCCAGCAATGTCAATTGTATTATCCTAACTTTAGTTTGAGGTATTATTCATTAAAATTTAGTGGTTTTCCCCCAAAAATTTCTCAGAGAGGGAAGAGCCAGCAGTGTAGTGTGAGAAGAGGGGGAGGGAGTTGAGTCCATTATTTGAATGGACATTAACTTGGCGACTGTATTTCTCCATTTCTCTAAGTATTAATTGTGTGCATATACCATCATAAAATTAAGATGTTATTTTTACTACAACATAGTTATGTGTCGTCAAAAAGTGGAGTTTGGGGGTCGGGCCGGTTTCTATTGGAATTAATCCCATATGTTCTGTTGTTCACTTAACGCGGTTTTCACTTAACACGGTACCCTCTGGGTTTTATTGACTGCATTAAGTGGGGTACAACTGTAATTGTAAATTACAGGTTGCTAATTTTGTTAGTTTGTAATTAGCTTGAACTGAAATGTAAAATTTGAGGCACTATAAATCTTTTGTGTGTATGTGTGCATGAGTGAATGCCACAGCTGCACAGCGACAACAAACGACCACACGATCGCCACTTTAAAACAAGCAATCAAACTGTGACAACGTATGTAATTTTGAGTCCTACTCTTTCCATGTACAGAGTACAGGCCCATAATAATGGCCCCTAAAGTAGATAAACTTTAATGTGTGAAGAGAAAGAAGAACACATTGAAATTGAGTGACAAACTTGAAATAATTAAGAAACTAGAACGTGGTGTGAGCAATGCTGTTCTAATGGAAATATACGACATTGGAAAGTCTACAATTTATGATATAAAAAAGGCAAAGAATAAAATTCTAGAATTCACAGCTTCTTCTGAGCCTTACATTAAAATTGCTGAAAGAAAAAGTTTACATTGGCCCAAATTAGAAAATCTTGATAAAGTGTTGCACGAATGGTTTTTGTTAAAACGATCAAAAGGTATGGCAATTTCTGGGCCGATACTTATATATATATATATATATATATATATATATATATATATATATATATATATATATATATATATATATATATATATATATATATATATATATATGGATATATCTTGATAATGGAAACAACGGAGTACCTTAGCTTTCGTCTTTATTCAAGACATCTTCAGAGGCAACTGAAGCTAAGGTACTCCGTTGTTTCCATTTTCCCGTGTGATTTTATCAAGATTTATCTTATCCACGTTTTCATTGTGGATTTACATGAAATATATATACAGTCAACCCTCACATTACGCGGTCCCGCATTCCGCGGTTCACCGTTAACGCGGTGCCCTGCCGGAACCTAACATGCTCACATTCCGCGGTCGTGAACCCCATTACGCGGAGAGCGGCTGGCAAGCCGCGCCATTTTTGGATCCAAACCTCCCGCCATCCGCCATGTTGTGTAAGAGGCGCGAAAATGGTGCGCACAAGGTCGCCCAGTCATCAAAACATTACCAGTTCTTCACCCGCCACCCACTACAGCCGGCCCAAGTCAGTGATAGTGATAATTATAGTGAGGATATGGACTTATATGAACTTTGGGGGGTTTGACAAAGAGGCCCTGCAAGCCTCTGTGGTGGATAGTGATACAATTGATACAAGTGATACAGGTGAGGGCCAATAATCTGCCCTCTGCCTCGGAACCAACCGCCCATCCCCGTGTGCCCAGCCATCTTTTCTACTAATGTAAGTGTTAAAAAAACCTAATATTATTGATATTTCTCTTAATTATTAATTGTGTGTGCATGCCATCATAAAGTTAAGATAATATTTTTACTACAACATAGTTGTGTGTCGTCAAAAAGTGGAGTTTGGGGATCGGCCCGGACTCCATTTCAATTAATCCCATATGTTATGTTATTCACTTTCCGCGTTTCTCACTTTCCGGTACCCTCCGGGTTACATTAACTGCTGGGTATGAGGGTAATTGTGTGTATATATATATATATATATATATATATATATATATATATATATATATATATATATATATATATATATATATATATATATATATATATATATATATATATATATATATATATATATATATATATATATGCTCTTATTTTATATTATACTATAATACAAATTGTTATTATGATATATTTTGTTATGATTTGTGTTATTCCAGTATATTATACTATATACCAGTACAGTAAAGCCTCGAATAACGACGTTAATGTGTCCTCCAATATTGCAGTGTAAGGTGAATCGTCTTATCGCGAATCATTAATTACCATTAAAATAAAGCAATAATAATGGGATGCTTTCCCAAGTGTGACCTTTTCATATCTTTTGTGTGGGTTTTTACCCTCCTTTCCCCCCAAAACAAAACAGTTAATGAAAATTGCAAACTATATTCTTTAAATAATGTTTCTGAATGCACCTTATACAATATAAATGAATAATAATATGGTCACACTGTATAGATATGTAAATATCAAGATAAGTGAACACGCCTGACGCCAAGACTCTGTTACCATTCATTGTACCATTTATTCACATGTCTGTATTACTACATATTATAGCATGTTTGATATCTATGCTTATGTCTAATGCCTATGTTCACTTACTATGTCCCGATATACTATGTCTGTACCGCGCTAGTCGAGTAATTAGAAGACCTCATTTATTGTCCTAGCAATGTCTAGCAACTCTCCTTGCCTAGCTAGCTAACTTCCCTCAGATCGGCTCGGCCTACCTACGGTCCGGGGTCCCTTGTGCTCGCTTCTGTATCGGTTGGCTATCCCGCCAAGTCTTGTACCACTTATTGAATATATCTACTGCTCGTGCTCTTGTGTTTGAAGAACCTTGTCTAGGATTTCATCCCACCACACACACATGAGGAGATGAGACGCCATTGTTTTCGTTGTTTTACAGCTTAAAGTCCGGGACGATAGTTCTACAGAGAAAATTAAAAAAATGAGACCCTGGTTGTAGCTGTAGTAAAATTAATGTAAAAAAATTAATATACTGTACAGTAGTACCCGATTTACGCGGTCAATTGAACCCACAGGGTACCGCAACCTCATAAAGTGAACAACAGAACATATGGGATTAATTCCAATAGAGACTGGCCGACCCCCAAACTCCACTTTTTCCGACACAATACCTATGTTGTAGTAAAAATAACATCTAAATTTTATGATGGTATGCTCACACAATTAATATTTAAGAGAAATACAGTTGCCAGGTTAATGTCCATTCAAATAATGGACTCAAATCCTCCCCTCTTCCCAGCTCATTAGCACCTACCTCTCTGAGAAATGATTGGGTGAAAACACTAGATTTTAACGTTTAGTAATAAATAATACCTCAGACTAAAGTTAGGATAATATAATTGACATTTCTGGATTCCTTGCAGGTCAGGGAATATTTTGAATGTAAACTTCATATATTTTGCAAAAAAAATAAAATATTTGCTTTGTGTAAACCAAATTATTACATTAGATCTAAAATTTGTATGTCTAATACAAAATCCATAATGATCATCATATTGTAATAATTCCAGCAATGTAAATTATATTCTGGTCGAGTAATTTGTCTGAATTTTATGAGCTAAAACAAATATCTTCAGTTAATAAAAAAAAAAATATTCTTCACACACTATCTGTCAATCAAAGTACCCCACCTTGCCTCCCCCCCTCCTCACACTCATGCCAGCTGGGTCGGTTGGTCTGAACCCTCCCCCCCACCCCCCACCTTCCCTCCCTACCAGAGAAATGTTTGGGTGAAAATACTAGATTTTAACTTTTAGTAATAAATAATACCTCAGACTAAAGTTAGGGTAATATAATTGACATTTCTGGATTCCTTGCAGGTCAGGGAATATTTTGAATGTAAACTTCATATATTTTGCACAAAAGATAAAATATTTGCTTTGTGTAAACCAAATTATTACATTAGATCTAAAATTTTTATGTCTAATGCAAAATCCATGATGTTTATATTCAAAATGATCATCATATTGTAAGAATTCCAGCAATGTAAATTGTATTCTGGCTGGGTAATTTGTATGAATTTTATGAGCTAAATAAAAAAAAAAAAAAAAATTATACTTCATGCGTATATGTATATGAGTAGATGCACCGCGGAAAGTGAAAGTCCCCGGTTCTGGCAAGGTACCGTGTAAATTGGGTTTTGTTGGGTTTTGTTGCATACACTACCAACCTCCAGCACTTCCTCCATTATCTTACACAGAGAACAAGCACCACTAATCTGGAGACACATCAAGCACTACGAGTTGACTTGGGGTCTGCTGACAACAAAGTGGTTCATCTGCCTTTTTGCGGAAGTTCTGCCCATTGAGGTACAGTATGTGTGGCATTTGTGTCGTGCGAGATCAAGTTATAGTAGTTTGTCAGTTAGAAGGGAGACTTATTCTCCCAACTAGTGTACAGTCACTCAAAAAAGTCTTTACTTGGGGGGGGGGGGAGGTCTTGGTAGGGTTGTCAAAATCTTTCATCCGTTGTCATATTTTCTCAACAATATTGTAAAGACAGTTTTTTGAGTGACTGTAACTCGATGATTGTTTGTATATCATTTGTCTTCTAGTTGACTCTGAGACCATTTACTGTACTGGCTCTGATGGCTTGGGTCTTTTCAATATGAAGAATTTTATTACAGTCGACCCTCGTTAATTCGGACCCCTTTAATCCGGATTTCGGATAATTCGGACAAAATCTGAACGAACTTTTTATTTATTTATTTATTTTTTTAAAGATTTGTAGGAATATTACCTACGCGGACCTTAAGCTAAAATGCTGGTCCACCCACTGCTGGGATAAAACACCAGCGTCTTTTTGGTCAAATGTAACATCTCCACCACTAGTGTGGGGGGGGGGGATGCAACTTTTAGCTTCAGACATGAAAAATATTTACCATTTACTGCCAGTAAACAATGGAAACGTAAAATTTGTACCAATTAGTAATGAAAAGTTGTGCAGTTCCTTCAGCAAATGAAGCTCACCAACTTACAATAGGCTAAATTACCTTACAACGTGTTTTCAGTAGTCTATGTTGAAGTTCTTAGCACAGGCTAACTTATCATATCATATACGGTATCACAGTTCTCATTGATCTACAAAAAATACCGGAAATAAAAACCTTTTTGATATTTCATACTTAATATAATACTGTACCCGGTAATCTACTTCAACCTCCTATTGTTTACAACGACACATGACGCACCACCAGCTGTTGAGTACAGGTTGTACCTCTCTAGTCCGGCAACCTCGGGACCTGACCGGTGCCGGACCATGGAAATTCACCCTTTTCCTGGATAGATAGTGACTTGTGTTTATGCCTGGAAGCACTAGCACCACTTTCTCTGCATCATGGTCTCTTTGAAGACATATTGAAGGGTTAAATGTCGTATAGTAGCTTCTCAGATTTCGCGAGTTTTTAATTCTTAACGTATTTTATTGGAACACAAAAAAAAATAAATAAATAAAAATTTTGACGGCGGAAACTTGAATTTCGACGAGGTTTGAGCGGCCCGCCAACGTGCAGACGACGTGCATAATCATGTAAACAGCGTCATTTCTCTTATGTACAAAAGATTCATTATTGTTTATTACTGAATGTCTTTTTTATTGAATTAATGTTTATGTGTGCAAAATGAGCAATACAATTCATTAATAATACGTAGAATATAAAAACACACGAGGAAATGACACAGCATTGTTTTCGTTGATTACAAAACCAGTGACTGACTGGTTCTACATATAAAACTGAAGAAAATAAGACCTTGGTTGTAGCTGTAGTAAAATTAATATGGTTGTTTTAAGTAATGTTATTTAATGTTAATAAATGGAACAATAGAAGTAGCTAACGATAATGGTAAAGAAAAAGAGAGATCGCATATGTAAGTGCGCATGCGCACACGTGAAAATATATCGTCATTACTTTACATAAGAATATGAAAGCAACACTTATTTACTGTTCATATATATTTTAATTAATGTTTCTGAATTTGTTTTTATTGAATCAATGTATGTGTGTGCAAAATTAACAATACAATTTATTAATAATACGTGGAATATTAGAGACGAGACGGCTGCCGGCATTGTTTATGTTAAAGCTTACGAAACCAGTGACTGATTGGTTCTACTAGGGGGCAGTGAAATTTTGCTCAAAGCTGCACTCTTCAGGCATTGTTCCTTATACATATCTAAGACTCCATGCCAAATTTGGAGCTGATATGTCGAGGTTTAGTCTGCCGCATTTTCTACTGAAATTTTTAAATTTACCTACAGTACTAGCCAAACAGCCGCTGTGGCTTCACGGAAATGAGCTGCCTTTCCGCGCAGTTTTTTATCACTATGATGGTAAACCAAGTGGTCCTGAGCATTGGCGTGGTCCCATTGGAAAGCAGATCAAGGAGTCTTTGTCTGAGCTTCCAGTTGTCGCCTTCCAGCCAGTCAGTTTCCCTGATTTCCCTGTGTTTAATGATGAAGTGGAGAAAGATCTGTCCTGGGATCAGAAATACCTGTATAGGATTTGTAAAGGAGTTATCACAGGTGTTGTTGAAGATGACTTGGCTGCTATTGAGCCAGGTCCTCCCTGTGTGTCAAGGTGGAACACCTTATGGAGTAGAATCCTCAGGCTGTATGTAGCAACATCAAGACCCAGCCATGAGTTGAAAAGAATTGTCATTACAATAATAAAGTTCAGTGCTCCAATGTGGTTTTACATCAAGATACACCCTTACGTAACACACGGCTCAAGGAACGTATTCCAGTCCCTGCTATATATGAAACACCTGAATAGTGAGGAGGAGACGATAGTGAAGAAGGCTGTCCAGAGAAATGCATACTTCGCCCACACAGATCAACTTCTTCTTGGTATGTGTGCAGATGAGGACATGACTGTTAGAGAAAAAGCTGTCTCAATGATAAGAAAAATTAGAGAGGAGAATCAGCAAAAGGAAGAATGCACTGGCAGATCTGAAGAGGAGGAGGAAGATTCTGATGCTGCTGTTGACGAGAATTTGTTAAACTATACTGATGAGGAGGGTAAAGATGGAGATGGGAATGAGGATGTGCCTCCTGTAGTCAACATGAGAAAGGTGGTGACTCCGAAACTAAAGTGGCAAGCAAAAAACTATCATTCCATGATTAACTGGAGGAATGAACTCAAGACTGAGCCTCCTTACATTGCTTCTCTGTCAAATCTACAGGTTAATGACATTCTTGAGACACCATTAGTGGTGCCCAAGTGGCCAAACAGCACTCAGGCGGTCGAGAGAGGCATAAAAGTGATGACTGAAGCTTGCACTGAAGTGACGGGATACGAATCGAGAGATGGATATATTAGGCAAAGATTATTGTCTAGGAAAATGATGCCAAGGTTCCGCACAAAAAAGAATTTCAATATGAACTTGTAATGATTTTCTATACGGTGTACCTGTAAAATAACATGTGAATTAAATCGATGTCACCCATGTAAAATTTATCATTATCCTGGTAAACATTAAATGACACCTAATTTTTGGTATACACTAAAAGTTGACAAAAAGTCGTTCGCGATGCGGCAGGGTAAGTATGCATGAAATGGCATGAAATTTTGCACAGATGTTTGTTACAGCCATACAAACGATGCCTGAAAAGTGCAGCCTGCAACTCAAATAAAAGTGTTTTTTCCCTGCCCCCTAGGTTCTACATATAAAACTGTAGAAAATAAGACCCTGAGTTTAGCTGTAGTAAAATTAATGGAAAAAATGAATATGGTTGCTTGAAGTACCTGTAATGTTATTTAATGTTAATAAATGGAACAATATAAGTAGCTAACCATTAATGGTAAAAAAAAAAGTGAGACTGCTCGTATGTAAGTGCGCACATGTGAAAATATATCGTCATTACTCTACATAAGAATATGAGAGCAACACTTATTTACTGCTCATATATATTGAAGGGTTAAATGTTGTACTCTGTATAGACAAGCAGAGAGAGAGAGAGCAGCCGAACTGCCGGATGTAAACAAACCTTAATTTCCCGCGGCTTTTTTTTTTTTAAGGGGATTAGCCCACCCGGGCATAGGTCACTGACCCACATTGGGGCCTGAGGGGCAAAAATTTAATACTCCTGTAATAATAATAATAATTCAGATAAAAAAAAAAAAACCTGCCTGTCTACCTATTGGACAAACTAAAATCGTTCCGGACCACGGGAGTTTCCGGACCACAGAATGCCGGACTAGAGAGGTACAACCTGTAACAGCTACACGGTACACGTGTTTTTTTAATCGTTTTCAGTTAAAAAACTGTTACATCACATGTATATTTTATCTTAACTGTGCCTGAATGAATATATTCTCGGAAATAAATAGTAGTTTTGCTGAAACGTGATGTATTTTAATGTAAAATAGGATAAAATACATGACGAAAACAAAAGACTTTACCTAACCTTCCGATGTTCTAGAGAAGTTACTCGTTTTTTTAATAGTTTTTGGTTAAAATACTGTTATATTACAATGGTATTCTTTTCATACTGTGCTTGATATAAAGCATTCACGGAAATGTAATATTTTTGCTGAAATGACGTAGGTATTAGTGGAAAGTGGGATAAAATCGTGACGAAAACAATGACTTTCGCTTTCTTTCGTTCAAAAGATGTTGCCGTAATCGCTTTTCGATTGGGTTTTCAGTTAAAAAACTGTTGTATTACAATAATATTCTATCCTAATTGACTTGAATAAATACTACGATACCATATTTCTGAATATTTTCATTAAAATTCATCCAAATCATTTTCCTTGTCATCGTCTGCAGCACCAAACAGCTTCTCCCAGTCCTCTCCTTGAACAGGGCTAGAGGGTACGTGTTTTTTTAATCGTTTTCAGTTAAAAAACTGTTACATCACACGTATATTTTACCTAAACTGCGCCTGAATGAATATATTCTTGGAAATAAATAGTAGTTTTGCTGAAACGTGATGTATTTCAATGTAAAATAGGATAAAATACATGACGAAAACAAAAGACTTTACCTAAGCTTCTGATGTTCTTGAGATGTTATTCGTTTTTTTTAGTAGTTTTCGGTTAAAATACTGTTATATTACAATGGTATTCTATTCATACTGTGCTTGATATAATACATTCACGGAAATGTAATATTTTTGCTGAAATTACGTACGTATTACAGTGGAAAGTGGGATAAAATCGTGACGAAAACAATGACTTTGAAATATAATGCAATATTAACCCCTAAATCGGTTAATTCGGACAATCGGCTAAAACGGACACCCTTCCCCCCCTATTAGTCCGAATTAACGAGGGTCGACTGTATTTTAGAATTAGTGGAAGAGCTTTCATTGTTGTCTGTAGTTCAAATTTACTGTAAATATTGTACAGGTATTTTTGTCATATACAGTATTAATTTTTTACCTTTCAGTAAACAGATCTTTACAGATACAGACAACTACTAAAGTCTCTCCTTCCCAACTGCGAACCCCCAAGAGATTCAAACTTGTGAATCCGAAGCATTTATGGATAGGATAATGTATCAGTCTACTGCTTCGGGTCCATGAATCTGAATCTCTTGGAGGTTCGTGGTTCAGGGGAGAGGTGAACGGATTTTAGCACTAGTCGACTATACAAAATGAAGGCGCTACAGTAAAACTAAAGTTCTGATAACATTCTTGTTGTTGATTCCCTCCTGTAGACAGTGCTGAGAATATGGGACTGCCTGTTCTACGAGGGTAACAAGGTGCTGATGCGTGTGGCCGTGACCTTGGTGTTGTCCAACCAGCAGAAGATACTCATGAGTCAGGAGTTTGGAGAAATTATCGAATGTTTCAAAGCCATAACGAATGATACCAATGCCATTGACTGTCACGCATTTATGCAGGTAAATTGAGACGGGTTCATGAACTGTATTAAGTGTGTTTATAATTTAAACAATGTATTTGTCTATAATTGTAGAGAATGTATTTAAGGTGTCTACAACTGTACATATTTTATTTAAGGTGTCTGTAATTTTACACGATGTATGTAAGGTCCCCACAATTTATTGTAATTTATTTAAGGTCTGGTTATCTAATTTTATGTACTGTACAGTCATCCCTTGGTTATAGCGCACATGGTTATCGCAATTTTCGTTATCACGCCTCCATCAAAATCTGCACATCTGTTGTTATAGCGCATTTTTCAAGCCGAGAATTTCGTTATCACGCAGTTGCCTCCAGGTGTATTGTTACCCCCCTTGCTTCACCTACAAATTGACAATAACACATTTGCTGAAATCAGACATGTCTAAGTTGCCTCAACAATTGCAACCCCAGTTGCAATTTCATATTCTGTGTCATTACTAAGGAATAACGAAGTCTCGGGTGCACTCTAAGATTGAGAGAAAACGGAAGACTCATGCGTCCTGAAACAATGAGAAAACGGACTCCTCAGACGGGGACTCCAATAAAGAAAGCATAGCTACATGTTTTGTGGACTACAGTAGTGAGCGTACCCTTTTCATCACTTTGTATTAAACCTAGCCATGCCTATGTGTGTTTCTGATACTTACCATAACATTATCTATATCTCTAGTGGGTCTAAATGGTCGTAAAATGGGAAAATTGGGGTTGGGTCTTGGGTGCCTGGAACCAATTAGAATAAATCCCATAGGTTCTGTACTTTCGTTATCGCGTTTTTCGTTTTCACACACTCGGCGCAGTCCCAATTAGGCATGATAACCAAGGGATGACTGTACTGTATTTAAAGTGTGTATAATTTTACTGAATGCATTTAGGGTATCTATAATTTAATGTAATTTATTTAAGGTACAGGGTACAAGTATCTATAATTTTATGAAGTTTATTTAAAGTTTATAATTTTACACAATGTATTTAAGGTGTCTATAATTTTACATAATATTTTTAAAGTGTATGTAATTTTACAGAATGTATTTACGGTGTCTGGATCCTTTCCGAGAGTGAGACTGGCCAAGCTACGCCAAGACTGTCGAGCAGAGGTGGAAGCTGAAGTGAAAAAGAAATAATGACGTGGAAAGCCCCCCCCCCCCAAACCTCTTTATTTCATGATGCATGACGCCAATACTTAGAGAAGCCCGCCCTTGTGCGTGTGCTTCCCTGGCTGCTCCTGCTGTCTTCCTTAGCTCTCATATTATTTAATTTTTATTGTGTAGAATAAATTTTTGATTTAGTTTTAGATTGTGTGGAGTTGTGGTAATTACCAGATTTCATAACAGTTATTTTAGATTGTGTAAAGTTTTAGTAACTCCCAGATTTTATAACAGTTTTATTTCTTTTTTAATGGGGTACTTTACGTTGCAGCTTATTCACCTACTCCACAACTGACCGGTCAGTCAAGTGATTCATGTTACACTGACTTGAGTTTTATCACTTTTCTTATTGTTTGTGTATTTCTGAACTGAGATTTGATATTTTGTCTTGTATATTTAAAACTAATCTAAGTTTTTAACTAAACTCAGAGACCTGCACACTGCCTCTTTGCTTTACTGGTTATTAATGAGTTGATTCGTTTTTTAAACGTAAGTGATTAATAATGATAATGTATTAGTTTATATGCTTTATATACAGTATCTGTTTATAAGATAAGCATAGTACAATAATTGTGGGTTACATTATGAGAGACCTAAATGAGAATCAGTTTTAATTTAATAAGTTATGTGGGTTACATCAGTGTCCGGCACAAGTGATCTTCAGATATATACAGTATATATATATACAGTACATACAGCCAGGGACAAAAGTTCGCTCCCTGTGGTGAAACTAAGTCATGGGAATGAGTCTCCGAACTGACTTACATTAACTGTTGTGTCTTGTTTGGGGTCGGTGTTGCTTCATTTTTGGGAGGGAGTGAACTTTTGACCCTAACCATACTGTATATGTGTTCTTGAAGTGTTTTAACATTATATCAATGGAGGTTCAAACTGCATACACACCGTTGAACCCTGACTTACCATTGGTACAGTATCTAATGCAGTGATCACCAATGTTTCCACTGTATCTCACTTGGTGTCTGAATCAACATGTGTCAGCAGTTACTTGACGTTCACTTAGTATGGTTGTCGATATAATGTTGCAACCTTATAGGAGCCACACTTTTGGGGAAATAAAAATTGATTATTATTTAGAGGTATATTTGGTAGTTAATTACTATGACTAATATGCTTTTCTATCAGTTAACATATGTATAATTATCTTTTAAGCTCTTTTTTTTTCTAACAAACTTAAGTTCTACATTATGATGTATTTGCTCAGTACTACAACACACATTTTGTTTTTTATATTTTGCTGTATTTAAAGATGTTGTATTGTTGCTGTATCCTTATATGAACCTATTATAATGTTGCTGATCTTGGCACATTAGAAGTTCTTAGACTGGGCTGAATATTACTGCAACAGTGATGAGTGATTCTTTTTTGGTATGATAAATTAATTCTTTATATAATCGTATGTTTCCAGAGAAGAGAGCAACATGTATTATCCCTTTTGGTCTTGGAGGGTTATATCCCCATTTTTAAACTTTTATCCTCAAAAGGGTTAAATCATTTTCATCAAAAGGACTAAATTGCCATCCTTAAAGGGTTAAACCAAGTCACCAAAAGGATCAAACCATCATCCCCAAAGGGTTAAATTATTGTCACCAAAAGGATTAAATCATTGTCCTTAAAGGGTTACAATAATTATCATCATCAAAAGGATTAAACCATTGTCATTAAAGGGTTAAAGCATCATCAACAAGGGGTTAAGTAATATATATGTAGGTGATGTATTTTGTTACATTGTTTTAGCTATCAAACAATCCTTTAACCCGACAACTGCTCCATTTGGGATACCATGTAAAAAACTTATACAGTACTGTACTCATCATGGGTGGTGAGTGTTGTGTTTTTATGCAATGAGGCGGAGAATAATTGACAGTTGCTGAACCCTGGTTGTGGTGGTGGTGGAAGATGTGGTTGTGGTGATGCAAGAGGTGGTGCGGCAGTGAGTGATAAGCCTTTTCGTAGGTAGTAAGTCATGTTGTGGCGTGGGTGAGGGGCCACTGAGGAAAGGAGGAGGGTGATGAGGCATAAATAGCTCCACTTCATTACAAGATGATGATGACAAGTTGTTTTGAGGCTCCACCAGCCTTGTGTCTTACACGAGTGTCAATCAGTCATCGATTTTCCATTCTAAGTATGATTTTTGGCGCACAGCTTTAAATTTATGGCGCTAAATGCTACTTGTTTTAAGACGATGATAGGGTGATTTTTGTAAATAAGCCGTAGATGACGATAGCATTCATTTAAAGGGTTGAACTTTAAGTTAACTTTGATTTTATTGGTAAAGACTTGAATTACAATGTTTAATTCAACTGACAAGACTTTCTTGCTGCTTCCACTTAAATCATTTATTATAATTAACTTATTAAGCAGTACAGTGATGTACTGTGAGAGTTCTTTCTAGAAGTTTAAACCTGAGAAGCCAGACACAGTTGTGATAGCTGATGTGGCTTACTCAGAGATGCTTATGCAAACATACAGTACAGGTTAATATTGATAGCCTTTTTATATGCTTAAATATATAAGAGAAGGGCTGAATACATAGTCTTTTGCAATTATGGGGTCAGTTTACTGTATTATTATAGTTTTGGTCATCGGGGCGGGGTAGAGCCCCTCCAGTTAGATTAGATTAGTTTGGATATCTAAATACAGTGGTCCCTTGGTTAATGAACACAATATCGTTTCAGAAGGTTGTTCGTTAACTGAAACCATTGTTTCAATGGGATATTGGGTAATTGGTTCCAGCTTACAGAAAAGTATATACAAAGTAAAGCCAAAAATGCATAAAGTCAGAAACACTCCTAAAATTCCCCTAAATCACTATAAATATCGTACATACTGTATACAGTGGTCCCTCGGTTAACGAACTCAGTCCGTTCCAGAAGGTCCTTCGTTAACCGAAAAGTTCGTTAACCGAAACCATTGTTTCAATGGGTTTTTGGGTAATTGGTTCCAGCTCACTGAAAATTTCCTAAATTCAACAAAAAATGGTAGAAAAGTTCACTTACTTTGAGGTGTGTATGTGGAAAGCTCCTGGATGATGATGATGATGATGTGCATTTGAAGTGGGAGGTGGAGGAGGAGAAGAGAAGGAAGTGGAGGAGAAGCATTTTACTGCTTCTTGGAAGGTGAGTCACCTTCCATGAAAGTGTCAGGAACCTCTGGACTGACAGATTCTCTACCAGGAACATCCTCTCTCCTTCTTGAAGTGGAAGGCTGAGGGAAAGCATCTTGTTCCCTCTGCCTTTTACTGAAGAAAGTGTCAATTGTGGTCTGTGGGGCACCTGTCCTCCTCACCATTAACTTATGTTTAAAGAAGGAGACCACTGAGTCCTCAACATGACACAAAGTTAGTTCAGTTTTTTCCACTTCTGGGTGCTTTGAAGCCAGTTCCCTGAACTTCTCCCAGTAGTAAATCACATCTTTCAACTGTTTAGCTGACATATGGTCATCACTTTCAATTTCCTCCTCGCCACTGTCAGCCTCTACCTGTAACATCTCATCCAGTTGCTTCAAGTCATCAGGAGTAAGTTCCTCATGAGACATCACAAGCTCTTCCACATCCTCCTCCTCCACTTCAAGGCCCAATGACTGACCAATGGACACAATCTCCTTGTCCAACTCTGTTTCTTCCTCAAATCCCTCAAAATCATGGACTACTGATGGCCACAGTGCTTTCCATGAAGAATTGAGGGATCTACTGGAGACTTCTTGCCATGATGACACAATCAATTTTACAGCCTCCAGGACGTTGAATTGTGTCTTCCAGAACTGTTTCAGTGCTAGTTCAGGATCATTGGAAGTTGCCTGATGACACCTCCTAAACATTTTCTTCATGTACAACTTCTTGAAGTTGCTGATTACATTCTGGTCCATTGGCTGTATGATTGATGTAGTGTTTGGAGGCAAAAACAACACTTTCACAAAGTCAAATTGATACTCCAAATTGCTGGCAAGGTCAGGGTCATGACCAGGAGGAGAAGAACCTTTAAAGGGAGTTTATTGGTGGTTAGGTAGCTCTTGACAGAAGGGCAAAACACATTAACAGCCCATTCATTAAAGAGCTGTCTTGTCACCCATGCCTTACGGTTGGACTTCCAATAAACTCCAAGCTTTGTTCTTACCACTTTTTGTTGCTTGAACACCCTGGGGTTTTCAGAGTGGTAGACAAGCATAGGCTTCAGTCGGAAATCCCCTGAAGCATTGGCACCAAGCAATAGAGTGAGACGGTCTTTCATGGGTTTATGCCCAGGTAAAGAGGCTTCATCTTTGGTGATGAATGTTCTTTTGGGCATCTTTTTCCAGAACAGACCAGTTTCGTCCACATTGAACACTTGCTGTGGAAGATAATTTTCTTCTTCCATCAGTTTTTTAAATTCAACTAAAAACTTTGCTGCCTCTTCTTTATCAGCACTAGCAGCTTCACCATGCCTAACAACACTTAAAATGTCACTTCTTTTCTTAAATTTTTCAAACCAGCCTTTGCTGGCCCAAAAATCTTCAAATTCTGTGCCTGAAGAACCAGGTTGATCTGCCTTTAAATGTTCATAAATCTCCCTGGCTCTTTCACAAATGAATTCACCAGAAACTGAATCACCTTTCATCTGTTTTTCCCTAATCCAGATGATAAGTAACCTCTCAGTTTCTGCGATTAGGGATCTACTTTTAAATACTCTTGTAGATTTGTCTCACTTTCACTTCTTTAAATTTGTCTTTCTGTGCAAGAATTGTCGACACAGTTGATGCCGACATGCCATATTCTTTGCTAAGCACATTTGATTTAATGCCTTGTTCATGTTTTTTTATGATTTCCTGCTTGGTTTGGATTGAAATAGATTTTCTTGATCTCTTAGGCCCATGCTGGATTCAAACAATGTCAACACGTGTTTTTCAAAGTTAAACTAGCTGTAAATAAAGAATATTTTCTTTAAAATAACACTGCACTGCACTATATATTGTCAATATGTAAAATAAATTTCAAAATGACCAATAATTTGCTTGGAAACAGAAAAAAAGCGTTTTGTTGAAGAGAGTCTCAAGCAAGATGTTTCCTCCAGTGAAAATAGAGAGAGAGACTAACGCCTGTTTGCTGTGTTAAGAGGCTGGATGCCGCGCATTAAACTAGTCACTTTACCTTCAATTATGTTCAATAATTGTTAAAATGACTAAAAAATTGAATATTAAACTTTTATAATTATTGAATAGTATAAACTTCTTGATATTTACTAAAATAGTAAGGAATTTAAGCCCTAGAACCGATTAATGTATTGGCGGACTGATACTAAAGCTGGTTGCCCGGTCAGTGCAAGCGAAAACATGTTGAGGTCGGTTCGTAAGAGGTTCGTTAACCGAATTGAAGATCGTTATGGAAGGCAGTTTGTTAACCGAGGCGTTCGTTAACCGAGGGATCACTGTACACTAGAACTCTTGAATCACTACTGTAATGTGATACAGGTGATTAATTTTATCTCTTGTGCAAAATATATGACGTTTATATTCAAATTATTCGCTGTCTTGCAAGGATTTCAGCAATGCAAATTATATTCTAACTTTAGTCTGAGATATTATATAAGATAAACACTTTAAAGCCTAAAGAAAACATGAAACTTTTGCCTGGGAAGGCAGGGGTAGGGAGGGAGCCAGCGAGCTGGGAAGAGGAGGGGAGCTGGAGATGAGGTGTATTTTGATTGACATAGTGTCTGGTGAAGTATAATTTGTTTATTTTATTGAGATTTTTGTTTTTAGCTCATAAAATTCATAGAAATTACCCAGCCAGAATATAATTTACATTGCTGGAATTTTTATAAGATAGTGATTAATTTGAATATAAACAAGCTAAAATTTGCATTAGACATACAAATTTAGATCTAATTTAAGAATTTTATTAGAGAGAGCAAAAATTTTATCTTTTGTGCAAAATATACGACGTTTATATTCAAATTATTCGCTGTCTTGCAAGGAATCCAGCCATGTCAATTATATTCTCCTAACTTTAGTCTGAGATATTATTTATTATTAAACCTGTAAGCCTAGTGCTTTTCCCCAAACGTTTCTTGGGAAGGTGGGGGGTACTGAGGGAGGGAGGGGTGACAGTGACATGTTTGACAGTTGGCGCCTGTGGTGTGAAGTATTTAATTGTTAATTTATGTTCTTTAGATTGAGTTTTAGTTTTTTACTTATAAAATTTAATAGAAGTGACCAGGGTGAATTTAATTTGCATTGCTGGAATTCTTATAAGATAGTGATTAATTTGAATGTAAACATAGAAGAGATCACTGAATTGGCTGAGTTCCTCCTCAGCGTATCAGCTGATGTTCAAAACAAAATGTGATTTTCGTAAGGATTTCGTTAATTGAATTTTTTTTCGTTAACCGAATTAAAGATTCTTATGGAAGGTAATTCGTTAACTGAGGGACCACTGTACAGGAATGGCTCAAACTAAAATGTTACCAGTTTGACTGACTACTAATTTACAGAACTCTGATAAAAGAGTTTGATTGTCGTGTATATTATCAAACACTGAGGTAAGAGTATCATAAGTGTATTATTACAAATTATTGTTGTACATAGTTTAGCACATATTTACCACTTCACAAGTGAGTTTATATTTGAGGAGCACAGAACATCAGTAGGACACGCACCAGTCTGTTATAAAACAATACATTATGGTGTCCCTCACTAGTATCAGTTAAACCTACAGTACACTACCAATGTTACAATCTAACACTTGAATCACTTCAGTATCTTCATTGGTTCCAAAGTTACGGTAATTTGAAGGTTTGCCGCAAACTTTAACTGCATTTTCCTTTTACTGTACTTTCATTTATGGCGATTGTCCTACTTAGGTTCTGTGATTCTTATAAATGGCTAAAGTTTTTGAATACAGTAGTCACATTGCCTTATATAGTGGTAAATCACCTTATACAGTATTTATGAAAATACCCTTTGAATTCAATGCAACAATTATAGTTTTGTCTGTGAGTCATGACAGTGTGGGCTGAAGGGTAAGGTAGGCATTGTTGTTTGGTAGTACATTTTTTTCCCCAGTTCTCTACACCACTTCATCACTCTTTATCATCATCTCTCAAATTACTGTACAGTTAAGCCTCTATTTAATGAACTACTATATATAGAGAGAAAAGTCCATTATATTGAGGTCCATTAGATATAAATCCTCCCATCTCATGAACTGTACAGTATGGAGATGAAAGCCCATTATATCGAGGTGTCCGTTAGATGTGAAACTCCACATCTCACGTATTGTATGGAGAGAGAGATCCATTACAGTCAACCCTCACTTTACGCGGTCCCACATTCCGCGTTTCCACGTTTACGCGGTGCCCTGCCAGAACCCAGGATGCTCACATTCCGCGGTGGGTGTACCTCCTTTACACGGTGAAGTATAATTTTTTTATTTAGCTCATAAAATTCATACAAATTATCCGGCCAGAATATAATTTACATTGCTGGAATTCTTACAATTTGATGATCATTTTGAATATAAACATCATAGATTTTGCATTAGACATACAAATTTTAGATATAATGTTTACTCTGAGTAAATATGTTATCTTTTGTGCAAAATATATGACATTTATATTCAAAATATTCCTTGTCTTACAAGGAATCCAGCAATGTCAATTATATTATCCTAACTTTAGTCTGATTTATTATTTATTACTAAAAAGGTA